CGTGTATAGTACCCCATGGTACAACGAGGTTTTGTAAAATACCACTGGTACTTTAGTCCGAGAAATACGGTAGTTATGTCAAAGCAATGATGTCATTAAAGGAGTTGAAAATGTTTCATTGGTAAATATTTATTGTATATTTTAATTGGATCAGAGTATTTTGCGGTTATGCTTGAAATAAAGATACTATCATAGTGTTTATTCAAGGAGTTCACATAATTGCATGACAACACTTTATTAGAAAAAGCCTCAATTAATACATAGTGAAACTCGATAAGTCGGTCACTCGGGACACTCGATAAGTCGGACACTCGGGACACTCGATAAGTCGGACACTCGGGACACTCGGGACACTCGATAAGCCGGACACTCGATAAGTCGGACACTCGATAAGTCGGACAAAATCTCTCTGCCCTTTTCTTTTTTTCATATTAAAATCCTTTCGATAAGTCGGATTCCTTGATAAGTCGGTGTCCGACTCATCGAGTTTCACCATGTACTATGTATACCTTCCGTCGTCATAAAATAGCCCGCCGTCAATCGGAAATACTCAATATGCATACGCCAATGCCCAAGACCATACCAGAACAGAATAAAAGAATGGAATATAAACTACCAATTGAATCACCTAATCCATTCCTTAAAAGGAAACGAGTTCGGAAATATTTCCCAGATAGTATTGGAAACAATCAAGACTAGCCAATTATTTGCGATCGATTTTAAAAATCATGAATGAATCACGGGCATGCATGCATGGAAGTTTTTAACATCGCTAATTCTTGAATAATAAAGTGTGGTTTCGAGATACACAGTCAGAGAGTCAGCCAAACGGGTTTGTCCTCTAATGGTCGACTTTTTCGAGAAAACCGACTCACGTGAATAAGCCTTTTAATTAAACTCTTAACAATAATTGTAAAATAACCTTGCAGACTAGCTTGCTTGTCTTAGAGAATCAACTTGCTTTTTTCTTATCATCTTGTATCCCTGATAATACAGAACTATTTAAGCCTAAATATAAACTATTCCATTCGATTAAAAATATCGTATTAGTTGGCATGACAGTTCTTCTCGTCATCACATTATTTTTCAATATCTGTTATTCTTAGTAATTCACACTAATCTCCTGCTGTCATCCATGTTGAACATTTATAGAACAGCAATTCCATGTTTTCTTCCGTTATAGTCTTGTGGAAGCACAGGATACAAATTCATACGTGATGTTAAAGTATTAAAATCTTGGGGCTATCGTATGAACATGTGAATGCTCGAGACATAAACATCTTAGTTTAAATAATATTTTTAAACGGATATTAAACTCGTTTACTGTTGAACGTTTACAATATAAGTGTGTGGTAGTTGTTTTCCTCAGGTCTAGTAGTGTTGGTGTTGGTTTTAAGCTAGCCAGAATATTAATATTAATATATTATACTGCGTTAAGATTATTATTATTATCTGTCTGCCGGGTTTACCGTTTATAGAAACAGCGTTATCCTAAAAAGAAAGCACGTGAACTTGTTTCAGCAATGCTGCCAATGCTTGCAGTTGTTATATTAGTCATAGTTTTTGTATCCGACTCATCGCTAACGTGTGACAAATCCTCCACAGTACGAAATCCTATTGGATTTCATTGCTTTCCATATTCGGTGAAATAAAAATGAGGCATGTTTAAACTCTCATATCAAAAGAAATTGGTACCATAATCGGTTGTAAGATTTTATTTCATTTGTCCTTGTGGTCATGTGTATGTAATATGTATTATGGGGTAGACGATCTTGTTCTATATTTGCGGGGATAAAACCTTGTTTTTTCATAAAAACTTGTATCAAACAGATGCAAAGACGGGGTTGTCACAACATAATACAAAAATTTCACGATCCTAAAGTCCAATTTTAATTACATTAAATTAGATTTGTCGGAACATCTAACCATAATCTCTTTGTTAATATGCTGATCATATGAGGTCAATCGATCATTGTATACATACTCTGATATTCCGAAAGTAACTTTCGAGCAGCACGGTGTTTGTAAAAGCTTTAATCGATTCTCAATCGAGGGACTATAAATTCGTCGATACGACGTACACGAGAAATTTAGCTATGGTTACACCAATTATTGTAACGCGGTACCATATTTTACCCACGGACAACTTTCATTTGTTCGACTGATGATAGTCATACCTCCCATAGCAACCAGCGTTGCCCAAGAGAGGAAGACTTGCTATTCGTATGGTTTTATCCCGCGCGGATTAATTGCTAACAACAAAATCATGCGCTGTGTTACCGCATTCATCACATTAAAGAATGCGTTTTCAACTTTTTTGCTCAGCCTTTTCTCTGTACAGCGCATTAGTAGAATTGACACAATAGCCAAGCTAGAAATATTGTTAAACTGTTTGATAAATAAATAACTATTTCTCATAATTAAATATGGTTTCAAAAACAGGATCACAACGACTGATACCAAAAATCATTCTCTGGTTTATAATATTAATTACAATAAAAACAATACCCGTAGCTTCACAATCAAACTATTCTTGTCCACACCCTTTGATTTATAATCCAACGTCTATACCGTCTTCTAACATTCCCACCTGTTTACCCAACGGATGTTGTTTACCATGTCCCGTCGCCAACAACTTTTATCCATCCTCTCGACTGAATGCCACGTACATGGTATTCGGAATCTTGGGAATATTTTCGTCCGTTCTGATGGTATTCGTAATAGCAAGTTACATATACTTGCCCAGCTTACATGACAGCGTAACTACCAAAAAGATTCTTATACCGTTTATATCGAGTGTGATAATTTTCAGTGCTGCCGATTTTTTCACTGTTCATCAGGAAAGCACTCAGGTATGTGTAACGATGGGTGCAGGATGAGTAAATAAAAGTATCGAGTAGGCTGGAATAATATTTTAACATTTACATTGTTATTTCAGTGCGTAAACCCGATCCAACAAGCAACGATTCATAATAACAACCTATGCTTGACTCAATGTAACATCACATCTCTGTTTTTTGCATCTACTCTATATTACTGTTCGACGTTTATAATTAACGTCAGATGTTGTTACTATTTGGTACTCTACAGCATTATTCGCTCTCGGCGGTGCATATGCTCTTGCTGGCTGGGCTTCTTTGTTACTCGTACACCTCCACCTCGTAAGTGAGTGTTGAAAAACGCTTAATACGCACCAGTATCTTGATCTGCTAATGACACGTTTTTCTGACCCTTTTCCCCTCAGCTCTCTGTTTGGCGCAGCACCTTCATAACAAATCACATAATTGGCTTCCATATAATTATATGGACTGTCTCTATACTCGCAACGGTTATTCCAATAGCCACGGATAGCGTATCGAGCGGAAATACGTGCTTTATTGCAGCTAAAAAAGGAGCATTTTACTATATTCCAATGAGTTTTATTTACATTGCATTTATTTTACACGTTATTACGTTTGGATATATAACCAATGTAAGTAGAAATAAGGCTTAATTTTAATGTCTGACAATTGTTGTATATAATTTACTCTTATTTTATTCTAACATGCACTCTTCACATGAAAATTTTCTAGACCGTTCTAAAAGCCGGTGAGAGTGATAAAAGGCGCAGTACGCTAAAGGCACGCGGAACGTTATCTAGTGAGAACATGAAAACCGGCAGTAATCTTAGAAAGATATTTAGGCTCCAATGGCGTGCTTTGGGAGGAGCACTCTTAATGTTACTTATATACGTCACCGATTGGGTAAGTCAACGAGATGCGTAGTATACGCAAAAATTGACTTGATCTCTCTCGTTATTCATTTATTTTTATGCTTATCTTTATTCTGTCAACTCTGCAGGTTTTTTTCACCTTTAAAAACAATGTACCAAATTTTGGAGACCCATGGTTTGAAGAATGGCTTCAATGCCTCACAACTGGCACTCAAACTTCATGCTCTTCGATCTCCGCCCCACAATTTCCGCCGTTTTCCCTAATAGTATGGCTACTGCTCACCAACCGCTGTGTTGGAATATTCATATTTCTATTACTTGCGGTTAAAAAATCTATATTCTACGAGTGGACAGAATTGTTGAGTAATAAAATTAGAGAGAGGAGAGAGACGACGCCAATTTAATAACAAACACACTCGTCATTACCGCATTGAAGTCGGCTCATCTTTTGTGTACAGTGGGTTACAAGAGTTTTTACAAAAAAGGTGACATACCGAAATGTGCCGCTTGCGCTGAAACATTTTACGCAAAAAGTTGTTACTAGCAATTTGCATTATTTTAATAGAGTAATATGCACAGTTATCCAATTTTATTCCTGTAAATGTATAATAAACAATTTTGATTAAAACATACCAGATGTCTGGCTGAATCAGAAGTTACTGACTGGCTCAGCAATAGTCCTGACCTCAACCCCACTGAAAATTTCTGTCTCTGGGCCATTGTGTGTGTGTATGTGGGGGGGGGGGCAGAGCCAGAGTTGGGAAGCAGGAAAAGCCTCAAAACTGTGTTATTGTTGAAAAAAGCCCACTGATGTCAAGAAATTCAATAAAATCAATGTAAGAGAGCGTGAAGCAATTATTTGAAGAAAAAGTGTTGACAACTCTTTCAAGTGAAAATATTGTGTGCCAAATTACGCATAGGTTTAAAAACCAAACATTTTTTATTTCCAATCAGTCTACTAATGAAGGCGTACAGCAACATATCAATTAGTTTTTTGCTTCCTTTTTTAGAAATTAAAAATCAAAACTAGCTTAGAGATTCTCCATGCTCAACGCTGGATTCTGGAACATAAAATGCAGTATTATTAAAAAATAAATTTACAAATAATTAGATTTTATGACGTATAGCGTGTGATAAAAAAAAAAGATATATTTTTCCGTTTTGTTAAAAACGCGTATAACTTTCAATAATCCAATGAATGCAAACTTTTATGTTAAAATTTTAGCTCAACATATTTCTGAAATCAATCAGATGCTTGGAAGTTCCAGCAGGACAATGACCCCAAGCATAAGTAGATTTTATTCAGAAAAATATTCCACAAATTGTGGATTGGCCATCTAACAGTTCTGATTTAAATTCAATAGAAAATCTTTGGTGTATCGTTAAACATAATGTTGAGAGAAGGACAATAAAAAATTGTGAAAAGTTAAAGCAATTCATGGAAGAGGAATGATATTTCAGAAGCGACTCTTGTTAATTTAGCAGACTCGATGAAACAAAGATGTAAATTAATTATTGAGCGCAATGGTAAGCACATCCCACATCTACGGGTTTTAAGCGTTTATTCAAACCAGCAAGCATAAACATTGACGCAGTGGTTATCGATTTAAAAATATCTCTCCTTTTTTTGTTACACACTGTATAACGGTTACACGACGTTGATAATATATCGACTATTGGGCGTGCTGAAAGAAATATTCCTTGAAGTGCAATGCATAATTAAATTTAAAAATAAACTCCCCCTATGCGCATATTAATCTTCTGTTACACAACATTGAGCGAAGCAGGTAGGTGTGCGACAAAGTATCCAAGTTTAGTATTGTACGGGTGTCAATAAAATAAAACAAAACCATAGATGTAACGTCTGTTTATTAAAAAAAGAGACTTGTCCATTGGACAGATAAGAAATATTTCTTCGAACGACGCATCCAATCATTATATTGCGTTTTTAAATTAGTAAGCTCTTTAACCAAATGGTTGTCTTGATAATATTGCGAGTCATTAGTGCTGAATAGAAGCAATCGAACACAAATGCAACATGAATTTACCTCATGAGTAACCAGAAATTATGTCAGGATGTTATTGAAAACGATGGTTTATACAGCAGTAATTAGTTTTTAATAGGAGATAAATTATATGTATATTCCAGACTTGGGAGTTATCAAAGTTTTGCCCAAGTACTACTGTTCAAAAGCAACCGTATACTCGTGACAGGGATGAGAAACCTTGCGTATAGTGTATCACAAGTCCTGATTACCTGTAAACCTCGGCTCGGTCGGATACTTTCAGCAAATTTATCAAACACCAAATGTTTTATTTTCGAGACATATCAGACCCATGCGCGATTTTTCGACTGTAAAATTCATTTCTCGACACTTTTCCAACTAAATTCCGTAATATTTTTGTTTTCAGCACCGTTATATATTTTTGATGTGCGATTCTACACAAAATACAGATAGTTGTGTGGCATAACGATGCTGATTGGATATTATGCGCGTTTATTGCCAAGTATAACAAGGATTTTCTTCTGTCTCAATGGACACTTAAAAACAAATCTGGTAAGCGTGATAAAAAAAAATCATGCAGATCTATCGAATAAGCTCCGTGCCGTTTCGATATGTTTAGAGACAAATACAGGATGTTTGGGAAAATTTGCTGGAGACATCCAACCGACCTGGATTTGTGATAACTATATGCAAGGTTTCAAAGCATTTCCTGAATTAGGGGTGTTTGAACAGCACTGTACGTTCGCGGTTTCTCTGGCCGTTTACATTGAACCATTCTTAAAATATTTGCCATGCGGGCATAGATTATAGAGTTTGCACAGTAATTAATTAAAGTACGTGAACAGAGATGATAATGTTAGCAAGAACCGTGAATTTTAAATTCTGCGTCCAGTGACCCACCCATCTTCGATCATTGATTGCTATTCCTTTTACTATTACTATTTTCAAACGCAATGACTTTTCTATAATAAAGGCAATGCTTAGAAATTATTATTACATTGCTTCCATGCATTGTGTATTCGAACTTCTGAGATTAGAAAAAAAAAGACATTAATATCCAAAGCCAAACAAATGCAAGCCCCAACCTCTTTCCGGAGAAATAATATTAATTAAAACTTATATACATAGCAGTTTCAAACCTAAAATCCGCCGTGGACCCCCGTTTCACCTTGTGACAACAAGATTCCCACCGTGCAGAGTAAGCGCACCAATTATCAGTCAAGGAGCAAGTAACCCCGCATTTGTGCATTGGATTATCGTCTTGCTAAATTTGCTTAGAAGCAGAATGCTAGTGTGTCTGGAATAACAGCATGATCACATCGGAGATGCACAGCAAAGGAAATTCACACAGTCACGAGAAAAGCAAGAAATGATTAGTCGGTTTATATACCTAATTTCAGTACTTTTTATAATCCAAGTTTCCGATTATGACACTCGCTTTATTATGATAAGGGGCAATGACGAGAGTACAATTAGGTGTATTGGTATACACTAACACTATTCACAGCAAACCGATGCAAGTTGCACAAGAAAAACGAATGGCCTAGACGTTATCTTAACTTAGACACACAAGACGATCGATCTCCAATTAATTATTATCTAAGACCAAGCTAACGACTACCCCGGACTATATCGCATCAAACAGAAGCAAATGTCGATAGTATTTCTCCGCTTTTCGGATATCTAATCCATCTATGGAAATAACCTCATTGTTGTAGAACATGATCGATAACTTAATTTGCGTGACTGTCGACGGTAATCAGAGCACTGAAATGGAATTTTCGATGCTGGTACTAAGATGAAAATGGAAAATTTTAAATTGTTCGTGATTATCTTTCCTGGCAAGTACAAATGTTAGTAAGGCTTAACTGCAGGAATATTATGTGGGCTAATATCGGATTGATGATGTGTTAAGGAAATGCGCTTTTTTTTTTACTTCGGTCTACCTCCTTTTAACGTCTCGGCGTAACCATTTCGTCCTCCATCCTTACAGTTTGTAATATACGATGTTGCGAGAATAATAGTACAGATCGCATCCTAAAATGGGACAAAAATCTCCAGTTGCACAGAATAAGTTGATTCAAGAAGCAACAAAAGCGCCTTTTACTCTACTTCTGAATTATCGTTTTATTCTGTTTGTTGACAAGGCAGAAGAAACCGAAAATAGCTCGAGAGAAGACTATAGTTTTAACAAGTCCTGTGATATAGAAAGTTGAATATTTCCGACAATATCGTTGCTGATCAAGCATAATACGTTGACTCGTCTGCTCAATTACATTACAATACATTGACAATGGTTTCGAAAACGACATCGCTACAAACTCTATCGAAAATTACTATAATATTGTTTACAACAAACGTAACTTCCGTAGTCTCGCAAAGAAATTCTTCATGTCCACACCCTCTGATTTATAATCCAACGTCTATACCGTCTTCTCACATTCCCACCTGTTTACCCAACGGATGCTGCTTGCCATGCCCCATTGCCGATAATTTCTATCCATCTTCTTACTTAAACACCGCGTGGACGGTATTCGGCTCCCTGGGATTAGTATCGTTCTTTCTAATGGTATTCCTAATAGCAAGTTACAAATTCTTGCCCAGTTTGAACTCCAACATGACTACCGGAAAGGTTCTTGTTCCCTTTGCATTCAGTGTGCTTATCTTTAGCGCTTCTGATTTCTTCACAATTCAGCAGGAACGCACTCAGGTATGTGTAACCATTAACCCCACACGGATATTAGTGTTAATTAGCATATTAGCGATCGATCCATAACGTAGTACAGATACCCCCATATATGGGAATGGGTTTTAACGTGGTCGAAACTTTATTCATTCCAGTGCGCAAGCCCGATTCAGCAAGCAACCATAAGCGATAACAAGCTTTGCCTAATTCAATGTAATATCCACATTCTATTTTGTCATGACCTATTCAATTTTAATTTAATCATATAATAATCATGGCTGTAATTGGTTTGTTATAGCATTCCTCACCCTCGGCGGGGCATATGCTCTCGCGTGCTGGTCGGCTTTGGTAATTGTGCACCTTCATTTCGTAAGTAACAATGCACGCGGGTGTTGAAATTGTTAGTCATGCGTTTTCTCACACCGATTCTTTACTTTCATTAAAGCTTTCGGTCTGGCGCAGCAAATTTATAATAAATCACATAAGAGGCTTTCACATAGCGATCTGGACCATCTCCATACTTGCCACGATAATTCCAATAGTTACACACCATGTTGGAAGTGGAAACATATGTTTCATTACGCCTGAAGCAAGCGCAATGTTCTATCTTCCACTGATTTTTATTTACGTTGCATTTGCTGTGCATGTGTCCACCTTTATTTATATTGCAAACGTAAGTAACAGAATGGAGTAGGGAAGCAAGAGTGTAGCGACGAGGAAAATTTCTTATCTCAAAGCCTTACTTTGGTGAATTTTATTCAACTACGTAAAAGTTAATTATTTTTCTTACTGCCGTTTGGTTTTCTCTAGATTACCAGGAAAGTTTGGGAAGATAATTCAGAAGGATCAAATATGACAAAACGAGTATTGGTTAACGAATCTCAAAAAACACTATTATATGTAAGAGAAATGGTTAGGCTCCAATGGCGTGCTCTAGCAGGAGTTTTCTTAATGGTGACTGTGTATACTACTTCTTGGGTAAGTCAACAAATGGATAACATGCGTTTTATTTTTTGTAAAATTTACAACGCTTAACGCTTTTTAACTTGACCTCACAATTTTGCAGATTTTTTTCACTTTTGACTATAAAGTACCAAATTTCAGAGCTCAATGGTTTGAAGAATGGCTTCAATGTCTCGAAACCGGCACCCAAACTTCATGCTCTTTGATCGCCGCCCCATACTTTCCGTCGTTTTCCCTAATAATATGGCTACTGCTAATCAAGCGTTGTGTCGGAATATTCATATTCATAATACTTGCTGCTAAAAAATCTATATTCCGCGAATGGATACAAGTGTTACGAGGGACTAATAAATCAGAATCGGGAGCAAGTCATGTGCATAGAGATGCTGTTGTAGAAATTACTTCAGTGTAGACTTTAATATTAATACCTGTACAATAAATAATTAGAAAAACTTACGTATGGTAGCCGAAATTTAAATGGTCGATGGGCATATTAATATTAATGTACCGAACTAAATAATCAACGCTAAATTGTCCCGAAATTTTAAAAAAAATACCCTGCGTTATTCTATATCGCTTTTTATAGAATTGAAATGTCAATTGTGATTATGCAAAACATGTGTAAGCGTAAAGAATATTGGTTTTTTCCCCTTCAATTATGGGATGATTGGAAGATATTGAAGACTTGCCAACTTAAAAGAGGAAAACTTCCTCGATTCACCAGCGATTACTACAAGTAGGACATCGATTATTCTCTTGTACATCTTACCCGCCATTAACTAGTGATTCATAGATGTGTATCTTTCCGCATGATCAATAGTATACTGGCTTGAGTAAATAACAACTTTTGTACGCGTAAACTACACACCAAGTTAAAAGGGCATTCAACATACACTAAATTGTTCTTGGTAAGACAAAATTGACAAAACGGCTATGTATTTTTCTAAACGTCTCAAAGACATAATCAAATCAAAGAATTACATTTATTGTTATTCTGCGACTAGCACACAAAAGATAGATTGCCTTGTTTCGTTCTAACACATAGCCTGAAATGAGATTTGCTATCATAACCAAATATTAATATTTCTCTCGATTGTAATGTGTCTATATTAATATACGACATGGAATAATTTCGCTTCGCTTTTGATAAAATAATATTAATATGTCTATTAACAAATGCCCTGTACGATTTCTCGTACGTACGGAACATTACGTATAGAATACGATAACTCTAATCTTATTTTAGATGTCGACCCGGCGAGAATCGGAATTGTACAATCTTCAGGCCCCGAAAAATTTCATCGTGTGCGATGTTACGTTTTTTCTCACGATCCTTGATATATTAATCATGTACGCTTAAGGAAAACGGGTTGTTTCTTGACCGAGGATTGATTATATTTCGGGGGAAAAAATCATAGTAGAAAATCATGAGTAAGACAAGCCTTACAAACAAGCTCTCCATTCAGGATATCGATGTTAATGATAAGCGTGTTCTCATGCGGTCGGTAGAATATATATGCTTGAATATAATGTAAAAACTGCCGTATAGCTAACATTCGAATTGACATATAGTGTCGATTTCAATGTTCCGTTCCAAGATGGTAAAATAAGTAACAATGCACGCATAGTTGCCGCATTACCTACTATTACATACGCACTTGATCATGGTAATTTCATTCAATTCCTTGCTACAGTTCTTTCAAACTCATTACCTCCTAGTCTTCAAACACTTTGTCAATCACGTTAATGACTTGTGATTATGCTCGCTGTTTTCAATTACCAGGTGCAAAGTCTGTCATTTTAATGTCTCACCTTGGTCGGCCAGACGGTCAGCAAAATCCGAAATATTCTCTCCGTCCTGTCGCCGAAGAGCTCAAGACATTGCTTAATAAAAATGTTACATTTTTGGACGATTGCGTTGGACCCAACGTCGAAAACGCAGTGAATGCCGCCAGTGGTGGTATGTAAACATCTGCCACATTTACTGATCAGATCCTTCCGTAGACACCGAGTTACGAGGAATTGGAAAGTCCACTATCATAATTACCGTTTATCTGACTTTTATAACTTGTTATTTTCTACAAGGTGAAGTCATTCTTCTCGAGAATCTTAGATTTCACATCGAAGAAGAAGGATCTGCAAAGGATGCAGACGGTAAAAAGGTACGATCTACTCCCACGCTAGTTGTCTACATACGATTTCATATATTTCACCCCTTTACTTGTCTTTGCATTCACCATATACAGATAAAAGCTTCTTCAGAGGCAGTAGCCCAATTCCGCGCTTCGCTCTCTAAACTCGGCGATCTTTACGTAAACGATGCATTTGGTACTGCTCACCGTGCGCATAGCTCGATGGTCGGTATTAACTTACCCATTCGCGCATCTGGATTCCTATTGAAGAAAGAACTCGATTTCTTTGGAAAAGCTTTGGAGAATCCAGAAAGACCATTCTTGGCTATTCTTGGGGGGTATGTACAAATCATCTGAAACATTTGTCCAAAGAGATTGACGTAAACGAACTTTTTTTTTTCTAGTGCTAAAGTTTCGGACAAGATCAAATTAATCGATAATCTGTTAGATAAAGTAAATTCGATGATTATTACTGGTAGGTTTTGGAGAGTGGGTTCTCTTAGTTCGGATGTGCAGAAATATTTATGTTGTATTATTTATTTGCTGTTTAATTAGGTGGTATGGTTTTTACTTTTAAGAAAACGCTCGAGGGAGTAAAAGTAAGATAATGACAAATACTATCAACGCCACTCGTACATGCCACTCGTACATGGAGAATATATTCATTGATTACATGATTCGTACATTGATAGATCGGTAATTCGCTTTTCGATAATGACGGCGCTAGTACTGTTGGTCAGCTAGTCGAGAAGGCAAACTCAAAAGGCGTAAAGTTGGTCTTCCCCATTGACCATGTGATTGCCGACAAGTTTGATAAGGATGCAAATGTAAATGTTTATGTAATTTAGTTTCAGGTATATGCCTTGCGTGGGAACTAACTTCTTGCAACTACATCACAGATTGGCTATGCAACAGATGAGGAGGGGATCCCCGATGGCTGGTTAGGACTCGACTGTGGTGAGAAATCTAATGCTCTTTTCAGAGAAACTATCCTTGAATCAAAGACTATTCTATGGAATGGGTATGAATTGTAATCCATGTTGTCTGGAAACGTTTATATATGTTACCCTAACTCTAGTTAATTTATTACGTTAATAATGTCTTAGTCCAACTGGTGTCTTTGAATTCGATAAATTCGCAAAAGGAACCCAATCAGCCCTTGATGCAGTAATCGAAGCTACGGAGAAAGGTGCTACTACAATAGTCGGTGGAGGTGATACGGCTACTGCTGTTGCCAAGTGGCATGCAGAAGACAAGATTTCCCATGTCTCTACTGGCGGTGGGGCTAGTCTGGAACTATTAGAAGGTAAGATCAACAGAGAGATTGTAATCACTAGAGTATATGTGTATTAATTAATGTATGTAACATTTCACAATAATAGGCAAGGAACTTCCTGGTGTAGCCGCACTATCCTCAAAATAAGAAGAGGAAAAACTTGCTCTTTTTTGATAAATTATATAAATTATATGTTTCCGTTTAATAATAAAAGTACGATTCGCAATTACAACAACCAAATATAGTTGCGCGACCAGCTTTTTACTCTTTCAGCATGCTAATTCTATATGAATCGCGTTATTTTGCTTTCAAACTCTAAAGAATACGTGTCGTTTAGATGTGCTTTTCAAGGTTTGGCATTTTCATCAAGTCGATCTTAGCCAGTGTCCCGCAATAGCACAGATTTAAAATTGGGGATGTTACACAGTTCGTAAACTAGTCCTTTCTTCAGTGACTACCATGTTCTTTTTGATCCCGACGTTTCCCTTTATGTCAACTGCTTCAAGTTTGGTCCCATAATAATAAGCACTTTATTGAGAACAGAGACATTCTGAATTTTGAGCAAGTGGTGCGTCTCTGATGCGACCATAATAAACAGAAATCGCATAATAGCATGGTATGTGGAGTCTGCAAAATCCTGAACGCAACTATAGTCGTTATACAATGTAGCATTCGATTCACTACTCCTTTATTATTCTCTCGTTTAACTTTCTTAATCACGCTATCCTTGGCTTGTAAGACTTAGAGAAGAGTGCAAAATGGGAAGATCATTTTAAATCCAAGCACTGATGCCTCCTAAATTGTTGAAATACCTAAATAGTTTCATAATCACTTTTCATGTCTGTAATCCATTACTTTTGTTTTACTGACAACTATATATCAAACTATTACTATCTCAGAAATTTTAAAGCAAGTGTTTAATTCTGAGCAAGAGTTTTTTTGTTTTTTTTTTTAATATAATAACAAGATCTTTATTGACAGCTACAGATAATCATAACTGCTAAATATAAAGCTGTTTTTAGACAACTAGTATATGAATAGAAGCAAGCTATCTAGACAATATTAATAAAGAAATGTGGCTATAAGCCAGGGATATGTTAATATAATAATAAATGTTGCTTGTTTGATGGATACTGTAGGTTATTGATGGATAGATGCCACCAGGATGTAAGATAACAAAATGTAATCAAACTGCGCAGCGCAAAATAACGAAATTCGTGACAACTATACAGTCAACTCTGTTTATACCGGATGGGTTGGCAAGCTCTCTTTGTCCTTCCGGAACCGGTATATGGAAAGTTTATAAGAGACTCCGGTATAAACAAAGAATTTTCATATGAAACGAACGGTGCGCAAGAATCAGTCCGTCCGGTATAAAGAATTTCCGGTATAAACAGAGTTGACTGTAATTAGCATTTTGAGTCCCAGATATATTCGGATCACCTCCATAAGTGCACTGTCGTGCCGACTATCACTGGAGAGCAGGTAATATTCGACACTTGGTATTTAGCTAGTTTTGGCAGAGCGTGGCGCCTTCTTCTCTAGTTAAATCTCTGATTACAGTTAGTGACCTGGCTTTGCACTTACGAAACCTTCGTGTCGTAGAGTGATACTAATCCTGTGTTAATTGTACTCGAGTAACTCTGTTGGTTACTATCGTGGAATAAATTCGATAGCTTCCCGTTGGGGGCACCTGGTGTATATGTACGAGATAACGCGTTTCCAACTAACAATTAAATATCTTAATTCGCCACTCGGATAATTGCGGGACAAGAGGACAATTATCCTTCGTTGATATACGGGTTTAACGGTTTCTCAGATATATCAACTAATTTAGAGAATAGGGTGTCAATAATATAAGTTCAGAGTAAATGCGATACTCGTTTATTAACAATAATATTAGCAATGAAGCATATCAGATGTTGCATCGCGTTCGAAATCTAAATCAAAATGTACGGATTTACGTAGTGATAATTTGCCGACAGACCGTGAGGATTTACGCTCATTATGATAAAACACTCACTCCTGATGATAAATGGATTTTTAAACCAAATGCTTCTTTGGAAACTCATCTTTATAATGCATCTCGTCGCAATGCGTCTAGAAATGATTTTGTTAGTTTACTGACTGATCGTCTTAGCGAATGTGGTTATGATATTAATATTGCCGAAGATTGCCCTTCTATTGATTCAAAAATCACAGAAAATAATGAAGGCAAAGAATTGCCTTTAAATGTACGTTCAATCAAAAAGGTTCTGAATACAGAAAAGTATTCAATGATTGCTGATGCTCCGGTCTTGAGTGATATAGAAGCTTTGGATATTCGACAATGTTTAGAAAGAGAAGAGGATACGTGGGGTGGTCGAAAAGTCTTGCGCGTGTGGCTGTATTTCAGCGAAAATCAACCTAAACCCAAAATGGAAAA